CCTACATGGTATATGTTCAATTAACTTCCAAGGTAAAATATATTTGTTTCCTGAAATAAATTCCTGTGAGAATGTAATGCAGAAATCACAATGTTATTTTCATGAGAAATGATCTATACTTTCAACATAAAGTAAGTCTCAATACCTCTTATGTTCGGCCTTCAAATATTGTCTTACATGCCACACATGGTGTGGAATCTTCCATTCATTTAAAAATAAAAATCATGCTTTAAGCTTCAATTGTTTTTCTTCATTTAAAAATCTTAAAATAAGTTTTATTTACTAAAGCAACGTACATTCATTTAGAGGAAACAAACAAAAGCAAAACAAAATCTTTAACAAACTGAAGGAGGTTATTATATATTATTTTTCAATGAGGCCCTCTCTGATAACATTCTTTGAAACTAGGGGCATGTGGGTGGCTCAGTGGGTTAAGACTCTGCCTTCGGCTCAGGTCATGATCTCAGGGTCCTGGGATTGAGCGCCACCTCGGGCTCTCTGCTCAGCAGGGAGCCTGCTTCCCCCTCTCTCTGTGCCTGCCTCTCTGCCTACTTGTGATCTCTCACTCTGTCAAATAAATAAATAAACAAAATCTTTAAAAAAAAAAATTCTTTGAAACTATACTCAACCCACTCTGAACTCCATCTTTCTTCTCTCTCTCATCTTTCTTCATAGCATTTATAACCACCTGGAATTCATTCTTTTTTCTTTCTTCTTTTCTCTCTTTATTTTTTCTTTGCTTTCATCTATCAATCTATTGATCTATTTCTTCTATTCTATTAAATGTCTCTTATACCTCAAATTAAGCTCTATGAAACAATAATGTTTATATTTTGTTCAAGGCCCTGGAATAGTGGTGAATACAAAAGAGACTCAATGCATATTTATTAAATGAACCTCAGTGCATATTTGTTAAATGATTAATCAAATAAATCTTATCTTGTTACCAGGTTTAAATATATATACCATGTTTAAAATTTTCATAGGACTCCCTCCATTTGATGTATGAGAATTAACTAAACCCCATTCTTCTTTCATTTAGTACATTTTTAAACTTTCATTACTAGTGTTCTTTGGTGAACTTCCTTGATACTTAAATTTGGGGTATACCATTAATTATTTCCCTAGGGTAATCCCAGAAGTTGGATTTTGGGGTTAAATGGCATATATATTTGAAACATTCTGCCAGCCTGCCCTTGAGAATTACTGATATCAACTTATACTTCCACTCCATTGTATGAGACCCCCCAGTTCTCTACACTCAATATTTTCATTCATTTTCTTTTTAAATTTGCTGAGAATTTCCCTCCTCTAAATGTCCAAAAACAGGTCAATATGAGCAATAAAGAAATGTTTAAGCCCTTTTCCACTTAGCTAAAATTTTACTTTACCTGAGCTGGATCAATCACAAAATCATTTACATATTTATGAATTAAAACTTGATGCAATAAGAGTAGATTGCTTTATAATGTGATGCATCTCATTTAATAATCTCTTCATTAAATTTTTCTAATGTGTTTTCATTGGTTATACAACATTTAATGGTCTAACCTATACTGATTGCAAATATACTATTACCCTCTTTAATTTAGACTAATGAAAATGAATTTTACATTTATATTTATACTATTCATTTATGAATAAAACAAAATTATTTCCATGATGTTAATAAAAGTTCTAAAACAATTTGAAATAAATATATCAACATAAATGTTGAGCGACTGAATGAATGCTCCATAAATTGATAATCCCATAAGACTATTACCCATTTATCAACCAAACTCATAACTCATAATTTATCATTTGCAACCTCATTTCTTAACACTGTAACTACAAATGTAAAATATCCAGTAATCAATTTTAATTTGCCAATTATTCTATTTATGGATAGAAAGATAACAATATACATGTTAAGTTCTATAAGGCAAAATACTGAATTTTTAGTAATATTATGACTCAAGGAATGAACATGCCTATCATGCTCTATAAATTGATTCCATTTTACAGTTTCATTTATGTGTATATGTATATACACACATAACAACACAAAATAATTTTATCTGATTTATAAAATATTTGATGTATAACTGAAAAAGGTCCTTCCCATTAGTATTAAGGTAAAATAAAATTACCAATCTTTAAATGACAAAAGGATTAAAAAATATTTTTTAAAAGTTTTTATTTAAATTCAAGTTATAACACACAATGTAATACTAGTTTTAGGTGTACAATTTAGTGACTTAACACTTACACACATCTCCCAGTGCTCATCATGATAGGTGTGCTCCTTAATCCTCATCACCTATTTAATCCATCCCCATGCAAACCTCGTTTCTTAATCTTCTCTCTGGTAACAAACAATTTGTTCTCTATAGTTAAGAGTCTGTCCCTTGGTTTGCATGTGTCTTTTTTTGCCCCCTATGATAATTTGTTTCTTAAACTCCACATATAAGTGAAATCATATGGTATTTGCCTTTCTTTAACTGGCTCATTTCACTTTGCATAATACTGTCTATCTCCATACACATACATTGCAAATGGCAAGATTTTGTTCTTTTTTATGGCTAATATTCCACTGTATGTAAGTATGAATATAGAAATAGAGATCGAGATGATAGATAGATGATAGAGACAGAGATAAAATAGATAGAGATAGAGATAGATAGAGATAGATATAGAGATAGATAGAGATATATCACAGCTTCTATATCCATTTATCAGTCAATGGACTTTTGAGCTCTCTCCATAATTTGGCAATTGCAGATAACATTGCTATAAACATCGGGGTGTATGTATACCTTCAAATTAGCATTTTTGTATTCTTTGGGTAAATATCTGGTATTGCAATTGCTGGATTATAAGGTAGTTCTGTTTTTGACTTTTTGTAGAACTTCCATACTATTTTCCAGAGTGGCTGTATCAGTCTGCATTCCACTAATAGTATAAGAGGGTTCCCCTTTCTCCACATCCTCATCAACATCTGTTGTTTCTTGAAAAAAACACTTCTCTCTTAATTTAATTCTAATATATGATATGAAAGGATATCATTCATAGGATAAAAATTGATACAAAGCATATAACCAACAGAACTACTATCCCTGTATCTTTTGATTATATGCCAATGATTTTTTTTTAAATCACAAGACTTATCATATTAAGTTAGATGGTATTCCCAGCAAAAGTTAGATGGTATTAAGAATTATAAACAGAAATGGGCTATTCTCATTTTAGAACAGACCATATTACTATGCATAAACTAAAAAGAATCAAGAATTCTTTGTTATACTCATTAATAAAAAACCTAGCTTAAGTAAAAATCAATTAAAAATGAGGAATCTATTTAGAGAGTTGATAATACCACACTTGAATATCTTTTCCTTGATTGGATCAGTATAAGAGAATTAGGACAAATGGAAGTTAATTTTCAATTACCAGAATGAAGCACGGATCTTAATTGAATTGGCCCTGGTCACCTACTAAATCTATATTCAAGACAAGTTTTCAAGATGGTATATCTTAAATAGTAGATTAAATTAAAAAATATGAACAATTCTAATTACTACAATATCTGCACATGTCAGATGAAATCAAATTTTATACATCATAGTATCAGGTAGTACCTTCAGAAATCAATTTTTTTCTGATAAGATTTTATATTTCTAAGGAGCTTCAGAGCTTCTGAAAATGACTTTGAAATACGGTCTTATTAATCTTTAGTATTCTCAGGAGAGCCAAGTGGGTGGCAAATATTTTCTGAATTTTGTAAAATAGAAACTAATAAAACCATTAGTGAATTTACTTGCCCTATGTCAAATCCTGACACAATGAAAAGTCGCAGTGCCAATCCTATCACCTAACTGAAACTCTTATACCTTCCAACTACAACAATTTTTATGGAAGAGAGCAGTAAAGGCAGAGAGAAAAAAAATAATCTTCAGAAAATATGAAGTTCAACATAATTTATTTCAAGAGACCCTTAAGTGGATATTTATTTATTATTTGATTGTGCTTGGTGATGGTGACCATAGTAATACCAGAACTTGAAAGAATTAATTTCCCTGCACCACTTCTGCATAACAAAGGTAAAACCTGATAAAATCAGCAATGGTACAGTAACTCAAGAGAAGAAAAAGAAAATTTTAAAAAGTTAAATTTTGATGTATAACAGACCTTTAACTGGGCAATATACTTGATTATTGAAAGACAATGAGAAACAAAGTAAGCCTCTATGGATCACAGGCTCTCTGAGTATTCTCATTTGCTGACATGTTTTTCATCAGAAACCCTTGAATGAGTTTCTCCATTTTGTTTCATTTTTTCCTTTTAATACTCTCATAAAGAGCCATTACAACAGTTTGGTTGTTTGGTGGAAATATATTTCAAAATTATTGTTGAAAACTATTGTTCCTATTTTCTATCTAGTTTTCCTGTGTGAAATAATACAGTTAACTGATTTAACCTCATTACCAAGGAAAGTTAATGCATTCATTTTTAGTCTAAGAATAGTATTACTAGCAGCTAAACTAACCCCAATTTTAAAAATCAAAATCGTTTTTGGAATTTTAATTCTCCCCAAAAATGTTTATTTTTTTACATGGATGTTTTCTTGATACTTGAGAAAAATTAAAATAATTCCATGAGAATAACATGGTATATGTCTTGAATATGACTTTACAAATCACAGTCGATTGCTTTTCTCCTCTAACAATTCTAGCATATTAAGAATTTTGGGTTTTTCCCTAATAGAAAATGACTTTACTAACTTTAAGTTAAAACTCATAAGATGTTCTTTGGTAAAATTAAGAGTCATAAAACTCCAAACAAATCTTACAGTTGAAAAAAAAATCTAAAATCTTTCACTGAATAAGCAGATATCTTTTTTATCCTATATATTTAAAAGAGGCATGGTAAATATAAAGGTATGTTTATAATTGTCTATTTTTACATGGAAACCTTAGATTTTTTTTTCTCAAAGCTTTAAAATAAGAGTCTGTACTTACCTGGCCCATCAGTCATTTTCTGCAGGCACCGTGGAGTTGTGCTAAGAAAGGAGGCATGTTTCAGTTTAGCCACAAAAGTACGAGGCGGCATGTATTTATGTCGAACTTGGGACATTTCGTATGATTTTTGAACATCATAGCTGCCAGGTGCTGGAATATCCTGAAAAGAATTTCAATGGATGAGCATTAACATGTCTTACATGGAAAATACATAAAACCATGTAGCACAGATGTTCACACTAAGCAATGGCATAAGTGGAAAAATATGAAAATTCTCTTAATCAAATTTAAAAAAAGTAAAAGACTATTCTTAAATTTATACCCTTCTTATAAGACTGTAAATTTGCTTGTCAAAACTTAAGGTAAAATAAACAGAATAATGAAATTTAGGACCATATTCTTTAAAAAAAACCTTTCATATTATAGATCAAACTTTCATTTTCAAATGTTATAATGAAAATCAAATTTCATACAGGAATGAAAATGATTATTTATTTTCATAAGAAGCAATACTATCACTACTATACTGTTCTATGTGAGCACACTTTACTCATTCTACAAATGAGACTGCTTATTTCATTTTTAGTAGATTCCAATTAAGTTGAAAGCCTTCCCCTTTTATCATTTATGGTTGTTTATATGCTCTACAGTTATATTAACATTTTTAATCAACATAAGTCACATGGAAATTAATAACTATAATAATAATTCTAAACTCAATTAAATATAAAATATCATATATTTGTTGCACAATTAATGCCTATAAACTATTAACTAATTATTTCAATGAGAAACTTTTTAACTCATTTTCCTCAAATTATTTTAAAATATGACATATTCTATGTAACATATCTGTTCATCTCTATTATGCATAAAAAAACAACTTCTCAAGTTTTAATGTTTTTCTAGTAGGCAGGACACTTACATGGCTAATGGTGTAGACTCCAGCTCTAGACTCGGGTTTCAAATAACTGCTCCTTACTTTTTTAGGGACTGTAGGCAAGCCACTTAAACTGTGGGATTCTTAGTTTCCTCATTTGTAAGTGGAGAAAATAATAGTATTTATATCATATGCCATAAGGGTTTTTATGAGAAATAAGTGAGTTAAAACAAGTAAAATACTTACATTGGTACCTAATTCCATAAAAGCAATAGATAATCTTACTATTCTACAAAAGTTAATTTCAATACAAAAAAATAATAATAAACAATGATATTCAGGGTTTGGGCTAATAGGGAAGTATTTTAATGTTTTAAGTAAGTCAAACAAATTTGGATACTGAAAAATCATACTTTTAAAGTCCATTGAGGAGCCATACTTTATAAAACATACTTTCTCTTGTTTCTCATGCACTTATCTCCTTCAAGCATATGCCAACAACATTATCTTCTATTTCCAAAGGATCATTAAATATGGTATGTGTACTGGGGAGGAGATTCTTACATGAAAACCCACATTTCTGCTTTAAGTTCCGTGTCAAAGAGCAAATACCACACTCTGTAAGTCAACTAAAATATGTCAGCAGTTGTTTGCTTGCCAGCATCAAGAGAATAGTTAGTAAGGGTAGGCTGAAGATAAGCAATACCAGTAGTAGCTCCAAAGATGACTTCTGGATCCTTTGGGGCTGCTTCTGTGGTGTGTGAAGGCAAAGTGGGAGAGAGTGCCAAAGCACAAAGAAATCTTGAGTGCACACAATAGACTCAGAGTGTTTAGGGAAGCTTTGCAAAGCTCTTGATTGTACCTACTATATATTTTAATTTTCTCATCTGAAGCTATCATGGTTATGGCTTCTGTAACAGCCTGCCTGGCATCACCACCCATTTCTTTTTCCAGTGCCTAGCCTGTATATGATTGATGGCTTTGGCTACTGCCATATAGAAACCTCTTTATTATTTTTTTTAATGCCTTGAAGCAAAGATAAGAAACTTCATGAGTGATCAGTTTTCTTAAAAAAACAGTATGTTCCCACCAAGGAAAATTCATTGAACTGGTTATCCTAAATTTCAATAGATTCAATGTGTCCTCTACCAAGTGTAGATATACTACATTTGTTCATGATTGTCTCTTCCTATAGCATATCCATTCTTCTCTGAAAACATATTCCCCACTTTTGTCCTTTTTCAATGCTTCTAAGCTCCTCTTACTCATATTCAATTCTCATTTTGTCTAAGAGACTGATATTTCAAGTCAATTTCCTAGACAAATTGTTACTAAGACAAATCTGAAACACTGTTTAAGAGCAATAATTTAAACAATACCTACAGATGGTACTCTAAACACCATTTCAGGAAAAAACAGTATGTAGGAAAAAAAAAGTATGTAGAGGTAAGATCATCAAATCTCTGTGGGTGATCCTTTATATACATCACAGAAAATAAGAAAGGCACACGATGAGTGGCTATGACAGACATTTCTCATGCTTTTTTTTTTTTTTCAATCTAGTTATTTGTATCCTTTCCCTTTGTTTGGAAAATTTCACATACTTCGCAGCAGATATGAGTCCTGGCACAAAAACTAAAAATGCCTGATTCACATCCTCCTGGTTTAGTTTTTTAGCTAGAACATGAATCTAGGTCATAGGCTTAAATGACAGCCTTTGAACTGGTAGCCAGTTTTTCAAAGAAACACAGAGCATTAAAAATTCCATTCTTTTGAGGGGCTGGCAGTGCTAGAAGCCATGTCCAGCTTCCAGTGGCAACAAGAGCAAGTAGAAACTGAGGGAAAAATGTGATAAAATGCCTGATGAAATAAAAGCTATGCCTCAACACAAATTAAAGGTAAATCTAAGGTATCCTGATTTCATCTGGAAAATCCAGGCCCTATCAAAAAATGACATAATCATAGAATTAAAATAATTGATATATGTAAAAGTATTAGAATGGTATCTGATACATAATAAGCACTAGTGTTTCCTTCTACTGCCATCGTTGTTGTCATTAGCATTATTAATTCTATTAGGTGTGAAACTATGTGTAATCCTCAGTGATATCTTCCTTGCCTGGAGAGATGTCAACTGGCTATTAAAAGAAAAGCTTCTAGTATTTTAAGCCCTAAACAAACAACAGTGAAAAGTAATTAAGTTGTTGGGAATCACATGAAGACAGTATCCCAGGCAGTTTAAAAAAAAAAAAATCACTGGTTTCAACCAGCCTCAAAGGGAAACACATCATCCCATTTATGTTTTAGAAAAACCATTTCACATACTTTGTGATTTTATTCAATTCTTTTAACCAAGTTGAAGGCCCTGCAAAATTTCCCATGCCCAAATACAAGCCTCTTCAAGATACTTAAACTTGAATGGGGTAGGAAGCTAAAGAGTAAAGCTGAAAACTTTGAAGGGTGGAACTTGCAGGAAGAAATAAAACAGACCCTCAGGCCTTCAACCCAAAACTCAAAAGGGTGACAAGCTCAGAGCCACAAAGGCAGAGTAGAATCTTAATCTTGTGGTACTTATCAGGTAAACTATCACTAGAAGGATGAGCCCACAGCAATATACAATGGATCTGACAGCATTTTATATAAATAAAATGTTAGAAAGCATAATATAATAAAGACCACTAACTATGCTTTGGCTAAAATAAGCTTTCATTACATTTTTTGCATAAATTGTTCTGGATATTATTTCATGCCTAAGTATATTCCAGTCTAAAATTTCATTTTAAAATCCCAAATATATAATTATTTAAAAAATCACTGGAATTTCTTTTATAATGAAGCTTATCTATTAAGAAGACTTCAATGAAACTTTCAATCAAAGCTTTGAATCAAAATCTTTAGTCAAATATATATATATATTTGACTAAAAATTTTGATATATATATGATATATATATCATATATATATATATATGATATATATATCATATATATATATATATATAGTAAAAAAATTACAGGCCATAAGTATAGTGAAATTTTTCTGAATGTGCAGAAAACTTTGATTAAAGGAATTTATACAATGGAATATTACTCAGGCATCAAAAAGAATGAAATCTTGCCATCCAACAATGTGGATAGGACGAGAGGATATTATGTAAGTGAAATAAGTCAGTCGAAGAAAGACAAATACCATATGATTTCACTCATATATGGAATTTAAGAAACAAAGCAAATAAACATGGGGAGGGGGTAAAAATAAAATAAGATGGAAATTGAGAGGGAAGCAAACCATAAGATATTGAACTATAGGAAACAAACTGAGGGTTGCTGGAGGGGAGATGGGTGGGGGGATGGGGTAACTGGGTGATGGGCTTTGAGGAGGGCATTTGATATAAGGAGCACTGAGTGTTATATGCAACTGATGAATCACTAAATTCTACCTCTGAAACTAATAAAAATAAAATAAAAAATAAAACTTTTATAAAAACAAAACAAAATAAGCAATTTACCAATATGCTTATCCAAGTTGCTTAATTTCAGGTTTATAGAGAAGAAAGGCATTTCAGATGATGATCAAATTATCTTTGCTTTGCCTGTCACAAATTATAATTATGAACATGTAGAGTTACCCTTGCCATTTTTCAGCTTTCTTAACATTCATCATCTTGAACACATACATTTTTAAATATTTAACTTAGGAAAGAATAAGTGTTATTTTAGAACAAAAATATTTTACTACAAATATAAAATTATACTGTTAATTGTAAGTGATAGGCAAAAATAGAAAATATTGATTTTATTGTCCATAATCTCCTGACACACTAGAAAAGACTTTTACCCTAACACTGTTTTATAAAAGGAACTAAAAATGTCAGTTATACCATGACACTTCAAGATTCAGTAAAGAATAATAAAAAGTGCTGGCAGACAAAATCAAGTAGACAATAAAACCACTGATTTCACCTAATTTCTCTATCATACAATTCATACCTGAATCACAAATTTCTAGTTATTTGCTGACACTTTCACTTCATTATCCTCAGACTGCCTTAAAATAAAATCCCTTTATCTTTCCTTCCCCAACTACCTCACCTACCTACAATAATTCCTTATTTAACCAGCTCTGAAAATAGAAAGCTGCATTCACTTTTCTTCACCATCCTCTCCCATATCTAAAAATCATTAGTTATATTTATTGTAACTTCTCTCACTTTATCCCTTTCTTGTCTTTACCAAAACAATCCTGCTATGGGCCCTAAAATATACCTGACAAATGTACTA